TTTGTCAATGACCCGAAGGGCTTCCCGTATCGTCAGAGGACTGTTTTGCTCTCCGGAAGAAGGGTGGTGTCTCTGAAGGAGTCAGTGGATATTTTAGGCAAAGTGGCCAGCTTGCCTGTCAAGATCCACCGGGTTTCTGAAGATGAATTTGCTGCACAGCCTCAGGTCAAGCCAAATTTCATCTATCATGGAGTAGATCACTCCAAGGTGTGGACTACCACCTTTGAAGCCTTCCGTCGAGGCGAGGCAGCATACGTATCACCCCTCCTTGGAGAGCTACTGGGACGTGAGCCAGAAGAGTTTGAGACAACGGTGAATAATTCATAGTTAATTTTGTCAAGTACCCTGTTGTCGGTCCATTGGAGCAAATTATGGAGGAAATTCTGAAACAGCTTTGCTTTAAATGGATCTCTGCTCAAATACTCTTGATCATAAACGCTACGTCATTATGTAGGGAGAATATTCTCCACTTCCTCTGTGTCTACATTAGTGATTCTCATAAAAGGTATCAATGATTTTTAAGCAATACAAAGTTTCGATTTCTACTTTCCAATGGCAAATTCGTCTGTTCGTCGTACAGCCAGCACCGGATCGACCATATCCGTTCTCTCGGCAATAAGCATGTTCAAATTTCCCAACTGCCATCATCAAAAGCTGGCCAAGGTAATCCTTTGCCTGTACTTTTTATGGAGACTTTCTGATAAATTTGCGGCGAGAACGTTGAGTACTCCATTTTCCACATCTACGTAGCGGGAAATACCAGTTAATGGTTGGTGGTCCAAGTTTCAAATGCAATTTCTTCCAAATGAGCCGCGAGTATTGAACTCTCTTCCTTCTTCCTGGGTGTAAAAGAACGTTTGCAACAGTTAACCGGGTGAATAACAGCAAATGACCTCGGTGTACTTGCTTCCGTCCAGAATCGACCAAGTTTTCCCTGGGAACATTAGCTTTCGTGCAGAAGCATGGTAGATAATGATTTAATCGATTGATTTCTACCTTCGCAATAATTGACTGACCACTTGATTAATGTAAGTAATTTTGGAAATACTGAGGTAGTTCGCTACGTTGATTCCTAACACTTTTAAAGATATACTACTACCGTGCTTCAACTCCTAATACAACCCTCAGACAACAAGGCGCTCTTGGTTTTTTTTTTGGTTCTAGAATTCTATCCTCGTACATTCGAAGTTCTTAGCTTCACTTGCGACGATGCCCACCAAAGCCCCACTGAATCTGGTTGGCCAACTTGAGATGAATGTCCAGCTCCTCGGCAAATGTCCAGACCAGGTTAGGATCTTTCTGGAAATATCTCCCCACAAGCACCATGTCAAGGCCTGCTTCCAAAATTTCATTAGCTTGCTTCCCCGATGTGATTGCGCCAACTGTAGCAACCAAAAGCTTGTCGCCGACAGCCTTCTTGACTTGATGAGCGAAGGGAGCCTGATAAGCAGGTCCACCTGTTATCTTCTGCCTGGGATCATTACCGCCACTAGAAATATCAAGGACATCCACCCCCTGAGATGACAATATCTGAGCAAGTTTGATGGTCTCCTGGATATCCCAGCTGGGCTCCGGGTGCATATGCTCGAGCCACTCCGTTCCGCTAACACGGAAGAATAGTGGCATCCCCTCTGGGATGATCTTTCTAGTGATTTCCACGATCTCCAGGGCGAGTCGAGTTCTGTTCTCGAAGCTTCCACCATACTCATCAGTCCTTCTATTAGTGACCGGTGAAAGGAACTCATGAATGAGATAACCATGAGCCCCGTGGATTTCGATAGCCTATTGGTGTTAGGTCTTGAGTAATTGAAGAACTTAGGATTTTGTTCACTCACGTCAAATCCACACTGCACAGCCCGCTTGGTAGCTTCACCCCATTCCTCTACCAGCGAATGAATCTCATCCCGCGACATCTCATGTGGGATGACATTCTTGTCCTTGTATGCAACAGCACTAGGGGCAACAACATTGTCCGGCCATCCACCAGCCTGAGGTTTCTAATTAGCTCAGAAATGAACAGAACTGTTCGTTGTCCTTACCGGTGCAAAGCCTTCATTCTCATACCCATTCACCTGAAGAAAGCGTAATTAGTATCGGGCTCGTGTGGCTCTTGTGGCAGCCAAACGTACAGTTTTCGGAGCAGCAGCTGGTCCGCGCGCCATACTCAGCCATGGGGCAACAGTGCTAGCTTTTCGTCCTGCATGGGCGAGTTGGATTCCGATCATCTGACCCTGGCTATGGGCAAAATCCACAATTCTGCGCAGAGGGGCTATTTGAGACTCCTTCCACAATCCACAATCTTCAGGCGTGATCCGGCCTTCGGGAACCACTGAAGTAGCCTCCACAAATGAGAGTCCCGGTCCACGAGAAATGATACCGCCAAGGTGCGCAAAATGCCAATCAGTTTGGTGACCATCTTCCGCTGAATACTGGCAAAGTGGTGACAGCTAAGAACCGACATCAGCTGGCATTTTATAATGGACTAGGCATGTTAGGACTAACAAGAACTCGATTGCGTATATTTATGCTGCGCAGTCGCAGGGGTGCGAACAACTTAGGGAGGCTGGCATCGTCCGAAGCCGGGGCTAGGGGGGTTCCAGCGGGAGGATGTTGCTTCGGCGTGAAGTACGGCGCCTATTTTTATGTTAGCCCACATGAATCAAGTATCACTTCTGCAAATAACGATACTGACACTTTCAGCTGGTTCGTTCACAACTTCAACAATCGATGCCTCGTCGATATTGGCGTATCGAGATTGGACCATTGTATGGGTAAAGATGGTATAAAGTGAATTTTCAGTCAAGTCCCTAGTTGCCGCTCTTTAAATATTCACTTTCTGGTGGTTCAATCCCAACAAACAACTTCTATGGCTCTGCCAAATTTATGGGGGACCGGTGGATAGTGGCGAAATGGTCAATTACTGTGTAGTGAGACATCCGTGGGGAAGATCCAAAACCTATCGGTGACATTTCGGCTAGATTTAATTCCGGTCGTCTCCGTAGAACATAGAATAATCCATAATGTACACATAATTGGTTGATCAGAGTATGGGCCTATAGTTCGTTGCAAAGCTTCTTACATTCCGGTCCGTTCCCAGTCCGTGCACCGGACCTGAGACCAAAGGACGAACCGAGTGGACTCAAGGTGGTGGAGAAGTTGAAAACTCTTGGTTTCAAATTCTTGACAGTCTACACAGTGAATTCCGGCAATTTTCAAAAAGATTGTTTTCATAAGAATATAATACTACGCTTCGGACACCGGGGGCTACGCTCAGTTACCTTTCGTGTTTATGGGCTTGATACAAAGTAGTTCAATCCGCTTTCCACCATACAGCCCGGCAATTCTACCAGATTATGATCTCGACAGTTACCTACACTGAAGGTGCTCTGAATAGCTGTTGCTGGCAATGCTTTTCTTGGGGTTCCTTCTGTACATGTGAGGGCGACCCATCAACCAACGGGCACAGGATCAGAGGCAATCTGAGACTGAGATTCTGATGGCTTGATCAGGTGCTACAAATATTCTAAATTGGCTTAAGGCGAACTGCAAAATGGGTTTTCAAGAAAGTTCGCCTGGTTGATGCAGCAAAGTGCTCAAATGATAAAGGCCATAATGAGAGCAGAGATCAAGTAACTAGCATGCCACCATCTACGATTAAGGTCGAGCCTGTAACGAAATCGCTTGCGCTACTAGACAGGAAAATGGCGGCTCCCTGAAATCTCCAGGTGTTCCCAGCGACCTGCGGGTGTAAAACGTATCGTTCTGTAGCTGCTTCATCAGAGGGGTGCGTATCCGCTTCAGTTAGAAATTTTTATCTGCTAGTTGCCAAATAGAGATGTCGAAGATACTTACCCTGGACAAATGCAGTGTACTTTAATATCGTGAGGAGCTAACTCATTGTTAAATGGCTTGGTCATCTGGATCACTCCTCCGTTAGAGTTTGCATAAGCGGGAATATTGTACATTCCACGGAATGAAGTAAGTGATCCGATGTTGATTATGTTTCCGGGGATTCTCAATTTAACTAATGTTTTACTAAACACTTGGGCTACTACGTAAGTGCCCTTGAGGTTGATGGACAGGATCTAAGCTTATGTCAGTCTTGAATTTGACCCCCCGAGACTGAAGGGAAGAAATTCGCTGGCCTATACCAGACCAAGGTCATCATCGGCCATTTCTTTTACTGAGGTTCTTCAGTTAACACCGGCGCAATTGAGAACAGACGGGTTGATACCGGCATTCCAGATAGCTTGAAATGTAGCGCAAATGGCAGAGGTTTCCGCAAGGTCGCACTCAATACCCAGATACTGCGTCCAATTCTTTTCAACTGATCTGACAAGGATGCTGCATTTGGGACATTTGGCAGTTGAATCGAAACAATATCAGCGCCGGCTTCTCCGAGAGATTTAGACATCTCTAGACCAATCCCACCCGTTGCATCTGTGCAGGTTACGATTTTGTCCTGTAGGGAAAAGACATTCATTGGTACTTCATTGGTAGGGAGATGTTTGGCCTTTGTTGCCGTAAATGGTGACTGGTTTGTTTCTGAGGGAGTGAAGGAGCTTATGGAAGTCAAAATAGTCTGTATTCTTTTAGTGTACAGTATGTGCTGAATATACCTGTTGAATTTTGACTGCAAAAGGTCACTAGACTTTCTATACGCCCTGCCGCTAATGACATGACAGCCTTAGGATTCTATGATTCTTTTAGGATATTCTGTATCCGGTGGATGTCCACCGGAGCGTCTCACAAACTCCGGAAATCCTCACGTCGGAAATGCGGAACTCGGAGAATTGACGACAGCCCCCTAAAGTGCGATCAAAGAGTAGAATTGTTTCCAATATTAAATGCGACCCTTCTCAACAATGTACCTATTGATCCAACAAGTCTGAACCCCCCACTAAGGCGCCCGATATTCATTGATAATGACAGGCCACTTGATCACGCAAGTTACCTCTCAGAGGCTACGGGGCAAGATGGCTCTAGTTAGAGGCGGCGCCATGGGATTCGGCAAAGCAATCGTGTCCAAGTTCGCTGCTGAATGTGCCCAGGCTATAGTACTAGTACTAGATATTATGGAGCCGAGCCGGGCGGAGGCCCAAGATGACTCCTCAAAAAGTATAACTTATCTTCGGGGAGACGTGACCTCTCCGGGCGATTGGCAAGAAGCTCTTGGGTGGGTTTTGTCTGCCTATGGCCACTTGGGTATTGTTGTCAACAACGCTGGTGTATTGCACAAGGCCCAACCGTCCATTGGGCTCAGTGACGAGGACTGGGAGCGAGTCTTCCGCGTGAACGTGAAGCAAATCGACCTTAGCACCAAAACGATAATTCCCTACTTTCTGAAAGAAAGGAGGCCTGGGCTTTTCATCAATACCTTCAGCATGAGTGGTAGCCGTCCTCGACCAAATCTTGTGTGGTACGGGGCAAGCAAAGGCGCAGTCGATACCGTAAGCATCGCCTAGCATCTACGGAAATGCTCCTTGTCAAAGATAAAATATGGCTAATATGGTCCGGTTCAAGGCATCCAAGGGTCTTGCAGTTGAATGGGCGCCACATAACATCCGAGTGAATGCCGTCTGCCCTTCGGTTGGAGATACAGCAATGATGCCACTGTTCCTAGGTCAAGACTCGAGTGCTGAGGCTCATGCGAAAATGCTCAGCAGCATACCACTGGGGCGTGTGTGCCAACCCGCCGACGTGGCCAACTCAATAGTCTTCTTGGCAAGTGATGAGGCGAGCTATCTTACTGGAGTGTGTCTGGAGGTTGATGGCGGCCTTGGGATTTAGATAATCGCCGTTTGCCCTTATGCTCATACGGCCATCTGGATAAGTGGGCTAAATCGCCACTCCCGCCCTCTTGATGGCTGTGACGTCCGGATGGTCGCAGGCGATCTGTTGATGGGAAGAGGTTGAGGTTTCTCGGCGATCAACCCCCGTTCGTTTTTGACATGGGCGTTGCGATGCCGCTTTTTGTCACAGTGCTGAAATGTCGGATTCCGTCGCTGCGTCGGCGAGCTCTGGAGTTGCAGCTCCGCGGACCTCCACGACAAAGCCTATATGTGGGTGCTTCGGCCGCTCAGCTGCTTGCTGCTCTCATCGTGCTGGAGGAAACCGGGAATTTGACGAGTGAGATCCGGCCGACAGAATTATGGTCTCGCCCAGGATGTGTTCCGGCGGAGGACAATCGCGTCGTTGACTTTTCTCTTGTACCAGCGGAGGCCCTTACGCAGAGCCATATTCAATGCTCTCGCTGGTGTGGCACTGGAGAAGAAAGACAGCTAGTCCACCAAGTGGTGGCGTTGTGCTCGGAGGGCCTGACGCCTCCAACCTGACTTCCAAGTTTGCTGTGATGCTGGTAAGAGGCTCAATTTTATACAGAACCTCGATGGTATGAGTAACGAATCTATGGAAGCTATTTACGAAATTCAACTCATAATGTCCGATTGCGACGGAATCGGGATGGTGGCCCACTGATCTATCCTAGATGGTCGGCGGTATACGATTTAAATCTTGAGAATATCGTCTACTCGAACAATTTCCCCTCTCTGCATCGAGAGGTTCGCAGCTATACCCGTCAAGATCGAACGTGCCCCGTCAATATGTGTGGCAGCTCGGCGCCACTGATCCACCGGTGCATCGCCAAATAAATCATTCAACAGCTGCGGATCCCCCCCGCCATGGCCCCCGGATCCGTGCGGTACTTCGATCTCGACAGGCTTTCCAAACATTGGACGAAGCAGGATAGAGCGGCTCTCTAGAGCGCCCTCCAGAGACTGCTCGCCACCTGAGTTGACATACGACTGCTCCACCACCTCCACTTCCAGTCGTCCTTGGCTGCCGTTGAAGCAGACCCGGAAGCCCTCCCAAGGAGCATATGCGGTTAGGCTGTAGGTTAGCACGGCACCAGACCGATACCGTACCATCACACCCATCGTGTCTTCGATGCTGATCCCGTCACCAAAAACGCTCTGGTCCCGGTAGTATTCATCCTCCTTCTCCGCGTCCAAATACATTGCCTTCAGCTGTTCATTCTGATCCAAGTGCAAAGCGAACGGATCCTCGCGGGCGTTTTCGCTCCCATGAGCGCGCGAGTAGAACTTGGTGACCCCACGTTTCTCTGCGTTCTCCTTCCCATAGAACCGCAAATCACCCATAGCGACGACCGCCTCAGGGTGGCTCTGCAGCCAGAAATTGATTAGGTCGAAGTGGTGGGTGGACTTGTGTACCAGGAGGCCGCCGCTGTTCCGTTTGTCCCGGTGCCAGCGCCGGAAGTAATCGGCTCCATGCGACGTGTTGAGCATCCACTCGAAGTGCACTGAGTTAACCTGACCAATAGCCCCGGATGAGAGAAGCTCGTAGACCTTGGTGTTGTGCGGCGCGTAGCGATAGTTGAAGGTGACACGCACGCGCCCTCCGGTCCGGTCAACGCCGTCGAGAATCTGTCGGCATCGCGGGACGTCGATGGTCATCGGCTTCTCGGTAATGACACTACAGCCCAGTTCCAGAGCCCGCACGATGTATTCGTTGTGCGTGCGATCGATAGTCGTGACAATAATCTCGTCCGGTTTGGTCTCTCGGATCATGCGGTCGAAATCGCTCGGGACGTACGTGGGGATGGCGGAATGACCCAGTGCCTCCAGGCGCGAGTTTGCATATGCCATGCGAGTGGCATTGCTGTCGCAGAAGGCCACCAGCTGGGCCGTGGAAGAGAAGTCAGTGACGAGGGCTGAATAGAAGAATATCGCACGACCGCCGGTGCCCACGATAGCGTATTTCTTCATTTTGGCGGGTAGTTGGATACCGATCAGCGCGGCCAACGATTACGGCAATGCCAGGAATGACAAGCTCTGTGGCGCGTATATAAGAGGCGTCGGGCTGCTTTGGCCCGAAGTGCAGATCGCAGCCCTGACTGATGACAGCCAAGTCTCCTTATTTTTCCGTCAATCATAACGAAGGCTGTCAATGCGGGGGAATCTGGGGACGTGGGGGTGAACCCCAGCGATATGCGCCGATCAGAGTCTGGTACCACTTGACATTTACCCCACAGCCTATTCTGAATCATGCTGGTGGTCGGGACATTCCTGTCCGGTGGCCTGTATATAACCGGGGGTGGACCGGCAGTGATGGTGGTGGTAAGGGACAACGCAAGTGCACCTCCTTCATCCCTGTCCCTCAGCCTAGCATGGCCCATCCCACCTCTCAGGACACCATCACGGTAGAACCCGTCGAAAATGGCCGGGATCTAACTGCGGAAAAGGCCGCTCAGTTTCTCGCCAGCGTCGGGGAGCATCATACGTTCACTGTGGAGGAAGAAAAAGCCGTGTTGAAACGCATCGATCGACGCATTCTCCCTTTAATCCTCGGTGCGTATTTCTTCCAACAGCTCGATAAATCTTCTCTCTCCTACGTCTCGATCTTCGGTATCGTGGAGGATGCCAACCTCCAGGGTCAGGAGTATTCCTGGTTGGGGTCCATCCTTTACTTGGCTCAGCTGGTGATGCAGCCCCTGGCGGCGTTTCTGCTCGTCAAAGCACCCACGGGCAAACTGATCGGGTCCGCCATCTTCCTCTGGGGAAGCTCCTTGGCGATCATGGCTGCTTGCACCGATTTCAAAAGTCTTCTGGGCCTTCGATTCGCCTTGGGGTCCTTCGAGGCAATGATCGGTATGTTCGCACCCACCAATGCTGTGACATTCGGCTGACCGTCAGCTCCGTCATGCGTTGCCGTCACCCAGATGTGGTGGCGCCGAAGTGAGCAGACAATGCGAACGGCCTGGTGGAACATGATGAACGGCGTGACCTTCATTGTACGTACAAGCCCCCGGCCTTGAATCCGAGCGATAGTAACATCCTAGTTGCAGGTGGGGAGTCTCTTCACATACGGGCTCGGGCACATTCACAGCGACGTTCTCTTCTCGTATCAGATTATCTTTATGTTCTGCGGGCTGCTAACCGTGGCCTACGCCTTCGTTGTGCTGTTTCTTATGCCCGACTCGCCCATGGAAGCGAAGTGCCTCAACGAACGCGAGAAGGTCATCGCGGTCGAGCGCCTGCGAGCCAATCAGATGGGGATCATCTCGCGGAAATGGCGCTGGGACCATGCCTGGGAGACGCTGTATGATGTGAAGACGTGGTGTTGGTTTTTCTTGATCGTTGCGATCTCGTAGGTCCTCCGTTCGACCCCGCGAATTTGCGCTGACGGCGCTTAGGATTCCCAGCGGCGGAATTAGCACTTTCGGCAACCTCATTATCAAGTCTTTCGGGTACGATGCCTTCCAAACTATTCTCTTCAACATCCCCTTTGGTGTCATTCAGGTGGTGGCCATCCTGGGCGGCGGCTGGTTGGCGACACGATTCCAACGCAAAGGGCTAGTGATCGTCGGCTTTGCTCTAATCGCCGCCGTCGGCACCTTGCTGATGATTGTCGTGCCGCGAGAGCAGAAAGGGGTGCTGCTGTTTGGCTATTATCTGGTACGTGGCCTGCTCTTCGAGAACCAAATCCTTCTAACAAAGCAGGTCTCGTGCCTGGCGGCCGTCACGCCCTTGGTCTATGCATGGGAGGCGCAGAACACCGCCGGCGACACGAAGCGGAAATGCACCTCTGCGGTGGTGCTGATCGGCATGTGCACAGGCAATGTAAGGATCGGAGTGAGCTATGGGCTGTGATGATGCGAAGCTAACGAACGCAGGTCATCGGTCCTCAACTGTATTCCACCTCGCAGGCTCCCTTGTACCGGCCGGGGCTGATCTCGAATCTGATTCTGTTCGTGGTCGTCGCCGGGATCGCCATGTAAGCGCTGTTCGTCGTGCCGGGGAAACGCTCGCTCACTTACCGTCATAGAATCACGAACTTGTATCTTGTCTTTCTGAACAAGCAACACGCCAAGACGCGCGAGGCGCTGGGCAAATCGGCCCAGATCGTCGACGAGTCCATGATGACGCAAGACAAACGGGAGGCTGGCAAGGCCGTGGAGTTGGAGGACGTGACGCCGCCGCCCACCGAGGACAAGGGGTTCCTGGATACTACGGACTTGAAGAACGAGGACTTCATTTTTGTTTACTAAACCAGGCTAGCAAAGGAAAGCGGGCATTACGGTCGATGCGGTCGGCGTTGGAATTAGTCTATTATCGTAGAAGCTCTATGAATATCGTGAACATCATGAAGTGCGTCTCGTCAGTTGGTGGGACCCTCCACGCCATGCCTTGCGCAGACGTTCCCTCGGGAGCTCATGCCCAAGGGGAAGGGGGCAACCGCCGTGCCAACCCGGATCGACTGGACTTGGCATCCAATCCGTTGGCTGTAAGGGGCGATGCTTGGCGATCGGACAATCGAGCGGACGGTGTGATACGTTCCATCCGCACGGTCGTTGCCTCGCTCGGCCTTCCGTGCTCGACGGGCGGAGGTTGGGGCAAAGCAAAGGATCATCAGTCCGAAGGGGGCAATCCGGCCTCATCGCGCATCGATGTGCAGATCGTCGAGCTCTGCCGGACCGGACTTCGGCGAAGGGGTGGGATGATGCAGATCGGAGGCGACGCGGGCGGCGTCAACGAAAGAAGGCGTGCGGCCGGTTCCGGCGGGAAAAGGAGAGCGCCAGACGTGCTGATGGGCCATGAAAACCAGTTTTCCCAGGACGGCGATCTCCAGTTTCAGCTTGATGCTGTAGATGGTGGCTTTCAGGGTGGTTTGGTAGATGTAGAAGTTGCGGAATTCGATGATCATCAGAGCGATATCCATCAGGATACAAACCAGGTTGACGGCGAACAGCTGCAGGATGGTCTTCTGGGTGGCGCGGTCGGGATTCAACTGCAGCATGCGGTTGGTCTCCCACATGTACAGGCCGGACAGGATGACCTCCTGGACGCAGAAGCCGGTCAGCTGGACCTTCTCCATGATGTCGTAGCCGCGCACGGTGGTGGGCGAGGTGTTGAAGTTGGCCATGTAGGTCAGGACGGTGGTGGGGACGTGCAGGAAGAAGACGTTCAGGATGATCATGGTGCGCACGACGCGCAGCAGGCGCAGGTCGCGCAGGACCAGATGCAGGCGCGAGTACAGCACGAAGGACTGGCCGGTGACCATCATCCACCAGCCGACGGTCAGCAAGGTGATGGGCAACCAAGTGGCCGGGGTCAGGGCGAAGAACTTCATGAGGTAGCCGACGGAGTAGGGCAGGACACCGATGGCGGAGACCAGCATACTCCAGAAGTAGGGCCCCTGGTAGCGCTTGAAGGTCAAGAAGATCAGGTTGATCAGCTCGATGACGTTGTACCAGGCGACGGCCACGAAGGTGGCGATGGCGATGCGCACCCCATCGCTGTCGCCGGTGTAGCTACCGGTGATCCAATGTCCAGGACTGGCGGAGCTGTTCGAGGACATAGGGAACAGCGACGGGGAGGGAGGGGGAGGAGGGGAGAGGGAAGAGAGAGAATACGAAGAAGAAGCCAGGGCAAAAATGGCAAGACAAGAGTCAATGTGATAGATATTGGAAAGCGAAGAATGTCTATCGGGGGACTTGTGGGATGGGATGGGATGACGGATGGACTCTGCGGGGGAGTGGAAATGAGAAAAACAGAGGGCGAGTGGAGCCCCGACGATCGCTTATTGGCGATGCGCGCCAGCGGTGAACATCCTTTCTACATCGAAGTGGAGCGAGGGTCGAGATGGATAGTTGGCGATACTCCAGATGTATATGGAAGCTGACGATGGTGAAGATGTAGATGTTGGAAAGAGATGCAAAGAGAACAAAGAAACAAAGGAAACAAACAAAGCAAAAAGGCAAAAAGCAAGCAAACCACGGGATGCCCCAGGCTGCGGCTGAGTCACCCGCGCTCGGCCCACCTGCCCTGACCAGGTGGCCATACCCTTCCTCTCTCCCTTCCTCTTCGTCTTCCTCCTTTTCATCTCCCTTCCTTCCATCTCTTCATCTCTCGATCTACCCATCAGTTCTCTGCCACACCCTCGCATGATTGATCTCCGCTCCCTCCAACGCCTCCTTAATCCGTCCGAATTCCTGGAATCCCGCCGACTCCCCAAAATCCTCATGCTGCCGCACGTCCGTCCAGCCGCTGAATAGCACGAATTCCTCCTTGGTCGCTCCCCCCGCCGTTGTCTCCTGAGGCTCGATGCGCCATCCGCCGCGTACTGCTTGCGGCGCCGCGAACTGCTGCAGGTGACTTTTCGTCGCCTGAAATGTGCGGCCAAAATCCTCCTTCCGACCGTCCGCGATAAAGTAGCGGCCGATGGCCAGCACCGGGGCGTCCAGCGGCACTCGCTCGTCGGGCTCGCGTGCGTCCGGGCGACTCGCACCCGCCGAGGGGGGAAGTCGTTTCCAGTCGACCGGGTCAATGTCCACATGAATCATCCAGCACACCTCGACCCGGTCCTGTAGCGCCGTCAACAGCCTTTGGTTGGCCTCGCTGGCGATCCAGTCCTGCATGTGTGTCGCCGTCGACGCCCATCCGCCCACGATGTAGACGTAGGACGGGTCTTCGATCTGGGTCAGGAGATAAACGGGGAAGGTGGAGTAGGCGGCCTGCGCTTCGATGGCGGCCAGTATTCCCGACCGCGTGCTGGAGTCGTCGGGCGACTTGAGACGCACGAGCGCCAATTCCGTAATAGCCATGGTCAAGACAAGATCAAGATACAGCGATGGTTGTCGCGATGGACGAGATCTATTCGGATTGTAGCTCGTATTTGTAGCCGGCGGTGGCAGCAGGCATCGCAGACTGACGCGGCTCCGGTAGGCCTCCAACGTGATGACGCCGCGCCCATCTGCCAAGTCGGCCATGGGCCCGATCATTCCGAGTCTCGCAGAGTAGGCGAGGTCCGAATTATGGACCGATGATTACTTTAATTTACGGTGGGAGACAAAAGAATCCTCCATGGGGTCCTCGTGGTATTTGCGGTTCGTTGTTCCCGAAGGTTGGAAATATATAAACAGCCCTACACGGACACTCATTCCCCCATCAAGCCCAGCCACGACAGGCCAATATTCAAACGCAGAGAGACTAAGACCTGAATAGATACGGACAAACACATATTCGTTTTAACACTGACAATTTCGCCGAACAGAGGGCATGCGACCACTACACATCGACACCGGATACCAGACCTACTCAAACTCAGCAGCTAAAGGGTTGCCCAAGATCTTGGCCGGAAAGTCGTCTTCGCCCAGAGTGGTCGTATGGGCCCAGGGCTTCAATTGCATCTCCTGGCGCACCGTGTCGGCAAAGCAGCCGCTCCAGCGCAACCGGGGGAACTGCTGGTTGACGTCGCGCACCGTGTCCGCATGTACCAGCTGCGAATGCATGCCGGTGTTGTCTGCTGCACGTTAGCCGGCCCCGAATGAACGGAAAGAGAGGACAGTCCACCTACCAAAGATGGTGGCCAGTTGAATCAACTGTCCGACGGCCGTGATTGAACCGACCTGGCAAAGATCCTGATGGCGAATGATTGCCTCCGCGACACTCTCGGCCTGAGCTTTGGGGCTGACGGCCGATGTCTCGGACCCGTCATCCGACCGCTGCAACACGTCCAGGGCCAGGAAGCCGCCGTAGAATTCGAAGCTGAGATGCGTGGCACCAAGGCTCTCCGCACTCGTGCCGATATCGTGCAGCATGCAGGCGAGGAAGTAGGTCTCGTCGGAGAACCGCCATTCGGGGAAGAAATGCGACTTGATGGCCAGACCGAGGTGATAGACGCGCATGCTGTGATGAAAGGTGGGCTGCGGCAAATGCGTTCGGGCGTAGGTCTGGATGCGCCGCGCCAGAGGAGTGTCGGGAATGGGCGTCGCCGACACGAGGGCCGCCGGGGGACTGCCGCGATGCCGCACGGCTTGCTCGATCAGCTTCTCCGCCGAGGACGGCACGGGGGTGAAGCCATATTCTTGGAGGGGATCTGCGGACATGGTGGAGGATCGCGAGGTGATAGATGATGAAGGTAAGGTCAATTGGCGCTGGCTTTATTGGCTTTATATGCTTCTCCAATGGTTCCATGGATGACGACATTGTTACATCGACGAGACTGTTCGGAGTCTAGAGCGAAGGGCATGGATTCGCATGATCTGGAGCAAGGCACTCGGTGATGTCCATCGATGATGCAGGGAATTAGTCACCGTCCGGTCCCGATTAGGCAGTTGATGCAGGTGGGGCGGCCTTGGCGCCGGCAGCCAATCAACACGGGCCGCTGATTACCCTCTCTTCGGTCCTGTTTTGGACTTCCTCCTTCCTCTCTGCACACTTCTGGCCCAGTGCTGGGACCGAGACCCCACGAGGAAAGATCAGGTACCTACATGGTCCCTGTGGAGCGCAGGAGTTGAATGGGCTGTGCTGTGTTGACACCGACGCGCCCTTGGACGCGTTCCCCAAAGCGGAAAGATGAAGCTATTCCCGTTGCACTGCTGCCTAGGTAGTCACATTTACCACCAACCGGTGATTATTAGGTTACCACTAGACACTCATCATTTCCCCTAGCGTGTACTGCGTGCGATACGAGATTGACAACGCCCCCAAATCCTACTCGCGCTCGGTCGGCACCCGATCGGCCACAGAACGCCCGAAGGCCGACGATATACTCCGTACAAGATGTACATAATGCAGCTCCGACGACCCGTCCTCGGAACGCAGCCATTGTTTGCTATTATCTTCACGGCGAGAAACTGTCACCGAGCTGCATCTACACGTCATGGAATCCTCCAACGTCCCTTCCGTGACGCTCTTTCGCGGTTTCCCCGAGACCGGGTGTTACACCTGGTCTCCTTTTGTCACCAAGTTAGAAGCTCGTCTGCGCTTCTCCGGCTTGCCATACTCGGTTGAACAGGGCTCTGTGCGCGTTGGTCCCCGAGGGAAGATCCCCTACGTGGCAGTCGCGGATGCCGACGACGCCTCGGAAGGCAGCACGCCGCGGATTATCGGCGACTCGACCCTGATCACCAAGACGCTGATGTACGATGGTGTGCTGGCCGACCTGGATGCCAACCTTGCGCCGACGGAGAAACTCAATGACCTGGCGCTGAAGGCCTTGTTGGAGGACAAGCTGTATTTCTACCAGGTGGGTTACATTAAACCCTAATGTTCTCGCTGGACAATGCGCATCGGCCATCTCAGGTGCTGACCTTCGATCATCTAGTCCCACGAAAAGTGGATCCGGAACTTCTACATCATGCGCGGCAAGATCCTGGCCGACCTGCCCTGGCCCCTGCAGGTCCTCGTGGGCCATCTGATCTACCGCAAAAACACGCGCACCCTGCAGGGTCAAGGGACTCTGACCTTCTCGGACGAAGAGATCGCCGCCTTTCGACAGGACATTTGGGAAAATCTCCACGCCGCCGCGGTGGCCGCCCGGTCGAAAAACAGCCATACAGACGCGCCGTTTTGGATCTGGGCCGGCGAGGCGCCCACCGAGGCCGACGCCGTCCTTTTCGGATTTATCGCCTCGGGCCTGGTTTGCTACGCGTACGTTATTTCCCCCCTGATTGAGACTGTATTCTAACATGGCCTCGCCGCCGAAGAGCTCCAGAGACTCAACGGACCATCCGGAGCTTTCCAGCCTTAGTGGACTACGCACGAAGAATTCATGACCAGTACTTTCCCGATTACGCGCTATGGGAATAGCATTGGAGCACGGGCCCAAATCGGAATTGACTCCTGCATGGTGCATGGCTGGAGGGCGTTGCATTGAAATATCACGAAGCATTGTTAGAATAATGATTATCACCACCGGCGCTATGCTCTCAGACCTGTCTCAATCCGGAATGAGTCCTGTCGCGGGCCTCATCCGCCCGCGTTTCTGCCTGACTCAGAGTTCGTAGGGTAGGTCATGGGTCCCCGGTAGACGTGGTCCACATTTGCGCAAATGGCGTACATGCACGCATGTACATTGATTGTCCTACTAGCGGGAGAGGTATCGGGTATTTCCCGTGGTCTTCCTCAGTTTCAGGCCTCTGATGACGTGGCCGTCCACTGGGTCGTTATCGATGTTGGATGGAAAAGTGGACTAAGTTAGGCTGTTGAGGAGGTCCCAATCTCAACTAGACTCAGCGTTCCCACAGCGGGCTCGCTTGTACCGGACGCCATGACATACCAGCAGATATTTGGCGAAGCAGTCCTCGGCAAAATCGTCGAAGGCCTCGTACGTGGCGCCCAGTCGATACGCGGCCGCAATTCCGGAGATGCACGCGATTTCGTGCATGTTCTATCCACAATGAGACTCTATCCACGCGCGTCATCTGGGGTGACTTACCACCATCGTCCAGCTTCCGGCGTACAACGTGTGGTTCTTCCCGTTGATGAACATCATACCTGGCACTACGCGCAGGTAATGTTGCCAGCGGTGGCCGAATTGATGCCACTCCTTGCGTGCGATGATCTTTCCCTTCTCAATCCCCTCCCAGGTCCACAGATGCTTGTGTCGATCGTCGAGGAAAATGGTCTGGTAGACGTGTCGGTCGGGCTCCGGAGCGGGGGCGTCCTGACCGAAGGCCTCGCGGAATTGGTGCTGATAATGCGTGCAATTGAACCCCATTTCGATCTTCGCTGGATCGGAGACATACGAATGCGTGTAGTACATCGGCGCAAATCCCTCCCACCCATCGCTGCGGGTTCGCGGCGTTTGTCGGGCAAACTCGATCTGACTCTTTCGGGACTCGGTGCTGGCCGACGCGCAAACATCGGACGCATACCGCGTTTGAAAAATGCTAGAGAAGTACTGCGAATCGGAATGAGTGATGGTCAAATCATTGTAGAATTTGACACCGCCCAGGACGAAATTCTCGCGCCAGGTGGCACTGTTCCCCAGCATTGACTTGGCCTCGTCGGCAGGCACGCAGAGCACCAGCTCGTCGAATTCCTCTGGAGACCCTGTTCCCGAGCCCGGTTGGGAGTCGGCGGGTCGCGATCGCAGTGAAACACCGCGCTTGTCGCGCCGCAAGATGTCGACCGTGGTGCTGAGACGCAGATCGACGCCGCGCGCGGCCACGTCGGCCACCCAGTCACGATAGAAATCGCTTAGATTGGGGAAGGTAGACATTCCGGGTTGGTTGGGCAGCAGCGTGTCTGGATCATAATCCCAGAGTCGCATCTGCGGGTCGTCAAACAATCGTTCCAACAGCACGCTCGATACATTGGGCGTCTGATTGCCCGTCCCCAGGAACAGGGCCATTAGCGGCAACACCATCTTATTAGAGAAATCGCGGCTGAACCGGAACAGTCGCAGCATCACTTTGACAGGCGTGACGCCGAGAACGGGCATCAAACGTTTGATCCATTTCAGCGCGCGGCCCAGCTTCCGGATCTCGTCGGAGTAGCGATCCACTAGTGGACTGGGAAAGACGTTGGTCCAAAAGCTGTCCGTGCCTTTGCCGAATGAGACTTGCAGCTTGACAGGCTGGGGCTCGTAGCCGTATCGACGAAAGAAATTGAAGGTATGTCGAAAAATGGGCGAGCCGCCCTGCACCCCGTCGTTCAGCCACTCGGCGCCATAGCGAGAACTGTCCAAGGGAATTGAGGTCGCCTGGCCACCGGTATAGTCCGCAATGTCAAACAGGGAAACCTTAAAACGATCAGGGTGCTTGGCCAAGGTGGAGGCACAGGACTGCGCTTTGCGTTAGTGATCGACGTACTTGTACTCGGACTAGAGCGTATTTGGAGAGTCTCTGCTTGCCATTCCTGCAGCCCCGGCACCAATTATGGCCACTTTCTTTCTGCCACCATGCTCCTCTGGCATCTCGATTGGAATGAAGCTGTTCGATGTGCGGAGAGAGAATCCTAGGGGTCGAGAATGAACCTCGATGCATTATAAAGAAGATCGATCGGGGGCGATTCAGGGTTGACGTCATCTCCGACGTCACGGTCGCCGGACTAGGAGAAATGATGTCGATGCAGTTTGCCAAAGAATGCTCGGGCAAATCTAAGAATCGGTTTGACTCTCAGAGGACAATGTCGGTAACTGTCCTCTGTTACTTTTCATACGGGAGTAGTGGGCTCTGGGTGCTGTTCACCGTCGCCGTATATACGCTGCGATTACACTCACCGGCCGTCTTCTACATTCATTCATAGGTGGACGCGAAACAATATGCATAAATTGCTATGAGGCTATTTACACTACTAACAATGAAGCCTTAGCGACCACCGCAGATTTCAGTCTCACCCACCGTTAATGCGCCCGTGAGAACGCAGTCCGGATCAACCTTTCTCTTGAGCGACAGGAGGGTCTTGTAATTGCTGCCCCAAAACCGCGCCTGGTAGTCGGATTCCAGCCGGTTGCCCTCGTTGTAATAAGCATCGCGACCGAAGATTTGGTCCGCTTGGGACATGAGAGATTGCGCGGTGGATTGCTGCACGGAGGTCGTTCCGCTGGTGGATGAGGCGAAGACGGGGATGTCTACATACGCCGCCGAGCTGCGGAAGGCCGGGTTGACGGAGGTCTGTCGAGAGGCAGGTTAGTAAAGCAGTACCTATCTTCCTGGTCGACTTAATGGGAGGTCTTACCGCGTCGGCTGCTGGCTCGTTCACCGCACCACCACCCACTTCATAATGAGTCAGTCTCGTTGTGCTGTTTGCGTCACTGTCTTTACTTACCTCTTTGGAATATGAAGGGTTGGGTTTGGGGTAGGCCCGTCACGAAGTCCGCAATAGACTGTCGGCCTTCCTTCGAACGCCACAGATCGTTCGGCACCACGCGACTGATGTCCATGATATTGACACCAACTGCACTGCCCTCCTCCATGATGGGACCGACTACATTTTCGAACGCCTCGTTCCAGGTCTCAAACTGCAACCCTTGCAAATTTACCGTCACCCCGTCAATAGAGTTGAGGAAGTCAAATGCGCTTAGCGATCTCTCGGCAGAAACGACGGTTTCGTTCGATTGGAAGCCCTTTTGGAAGGCAATAGTAAGGTTCGGATAGGTTGTCTCCCAAAGGCCCGAACTGAAGCCCGAGGCATACTCCGGGTCGCGCTGCACAAACTCGGAGATCATGTTTTGGTATGACTTCTTGTCGGCGGCTGAGACCTGCCCCACGACGACGTTGACGGCCTCAAAGGCTGGATGCGCCTTCACGTAGGTTGCCGTGCTGACGGCAAAGACGCCGCCACCACCACGCATTGCCCAGAAAAGATCCTTATTCTCGCACTCATTGGCGACAGTAATGGTACCGTCGACGGTCACTATGTCATATTGAACCACATCTGCGTCGCGGCGATGATTAGCCTGACATGCCGGCTAGCCCAACGCGAAAGAAGTCACCTACTATCGGCGCCCATGCCAATAACGGGCTGAAAGGGCCCCGCAGCGCCTCCGCCTAGGGCAAACCCTCCAGCAATGCCTACGGTGGGACAGAATCCGCCGGTGGTGACAACGCCCAGCTTGGCCGCTTCGGCATAAAGGTCTTGAGCCACAACGCCGGCACCTAGGCGAAGGGCATTCTGCGACGCTGAGGAGCTGCATCCTAGAGGAACAAAGCTCGGCTTGAGCTCAACCTCTTGAAATGCATGAGTGAGGATGACAAAGGAACCAGCATCGGTGCTGCGTCCCGTGTAGTCATGGCCAGTCTGAGCCGCATGTTAGAACACAATACTGGGATCGTCCATTCCAGGGGTGACTCACATTCTTCACTCGGAGCCGCAAATTGTGTTTGGCTGCAAACTTCACAGCCTGGCTGACGTCCTCTGCACTCGTCGCTTGCACGAAATAGGAGCCCAAGGCGCCTAATTCGCACGACCCGTCTATTCCTGTCCCCGGCGCGGCCGTAGGGACCGGACAGCCGGTGCCATTAGACGTGAACTCAGTGTTGGTATACATCATCGCAGCCGGGATAGCCTCACGATAGGTGCCGTTTCTCTTATTGGCCACGAGTTCCGCACACGCCGGCGCATCAAAATGACCGGCATAGCACACTCGGCCGTAAGGAGGGGGGGCTAGCAATTTCCCATCCACGGAGCTATTAAACCGCGAGAGCTCGTCGGTAGACGGAAAGCAGGCATCGCCAGGAAGACAGTACGGTGCCTTCGCCAAGGAAGGAGCTGTCAACGCGAGGACCAGTAGTGTTGTGAGACTTGCCATCTTATAGTACACAGTCGAACAGACTGGCAGATCGATTGTCCACTCGGATGGGAATGGATCTTTACTACCCCTACGGCTCTTTCTTGCCTCTTTATAATCTCTCTACCCCCAATCATTCGCCCCCCTTTGGGCTATTCTCCACACCGGGAGGAAGACGGAATTCCTCACGAAAGAGTAGGACTCCTCGGCCATTTCGATTCCAGCTTGATCCTCCAACAATCTAGTTATTCCAAAGTCCTGAAGCATCCGCCATCCTTTGTTGGCTTTTTAGTACACCGGTGTAGTAATGACTGACAACCGGACTAGGATAGGGAGTCTGTTGGCAAGACAAAGGCGGCAAATCAGGAACGCCCTTCGTTTACCAACTAACTCGACGAGAACAACTTTGACACATGTTGGTTCGTTAGTCCGTTAGTAGGACGTTAGGGCAGGTTCCACTTATTCCGTAAATTAACAGAAGGCTTGATTTTGGCCCCAACCAGGATGTTCGGCTGGCTCCATGGCAAGCCTTGTGGGTCTTCACTTGATGACCCCACTGCGTACTATCAGGCTACAGGCTAAGTATATTACATGAGCGTGCCGTGAGGCACGAGTTGGTTCGTTCCTCTCTCGGACCTCAACCGAGTCAACTTGATTGAAACATGATTGTTGGAACTAAGCAGCGAGTACAACGATACATAGAGGAGGGTAACATAGTGTGGCCTGTTGTCTTACCCACCTCCTCCACCCTTCTACTCAGTTTCCACCAGGGCAGTCTTTCACTCTGCGACGACAAATGGGGCAACACTGGCCAACTTCTCGCGGGTTTCAGTGAGTTCTCGGTCAGGTCTGGACTGCGCGATGACTCCGGCCCCAGCTTGAACCCACGAGCGATGGTGGTCTTGGAATACGGTGCGCAGAACGAGCGAAGCCTCGAAGGAATCGGGTCCGTCCAACATTAAGACAGCGCCAGAATACAGCTCGCGGGGTTCGCGTTCCAGACGCTGGATCCCTTCCAACGCTGCCTGTTTCGGAATTCCAGACGCTGTGATTGAGGGAAAAATGACCGCTAAGGCATCCCATGGGTCCTTATCTGCTGCCAGTGTACCAGAGACCCGAGATCCCAGATGCTGCACGCTACCGCGGGCACGAACAGACATCAGGTCATTTGTGGCTGCCGTGCCAGATACACATATTTGATCTAGTTCCTGCATTGCTTCCTTGACAGACATAACATGCTCTACAATCTCTTTCGTATCGTGTGTCAATTCATGCGCCAGGCTTTCAACCTCCGCCGAAGTGCCGAGGCGCGATCGTGTTCCAGCGAGCGGTTCTGTAGCCACGATGCCATCCTGGACGGACATTACCAGTTCCGGACTAAAGCCTGTTGCCTGGAATCCGGCCTGGCTAAATGAAAAAGTACGGGCCGGATCGTTGGCCCGACGACCGCACAAAAGCGTTGCTGCCATGTTCACGCGACCCTCAAGACGGACGGCGCGCGAGGGGATGACCTTGGTATAACTTCCTTCTTCAATTTCCTCCTGCGCTCGCTGAACACGAGTGATATACTCTCCCGCGGAATCCGTTGTATCAATCCTCAATTTTGGACCCGGTTCTAGACAGGTGTCGCCGATGATCAGTGCCGACAGCTCCTTTAATTCCGTGTCGTTGGACCCAGTCAGAGTGACTTGATCATGGTGGAATGTGATCTCTGTGCGTGGAACCAAGAGACTTAGCAGTGGCCAAAGGCCCGACTGAAACGGTATTCCTCGGACGTGTGCGGCGTAGTTATACCCAACATGCCCGAACGCTTTATGGCCGGGTCGAGCGTGTTGGGAAAGAAAGTCGCGCGCCGCCTGAGCAAGGGAATTTCGAACCGGATGTTCTTCACGCCGCGCTCCGGCAGTGACCGTAGCGATCTCTCCTTTAGCGTCGACCAGCAATGAAGCCTGGGTTCCGAGGCCCAAATACCATGCACCGTGTTGCTCATAGGCGTAATAATCTTCGCCCTTGAACTTGGCTAAAACCACAGACACTCGTTCCACAAAACCCTTTTGTTTAGGATTGAGGGGAAAGGAAACCTGAGAGAAGGCCATCTCGTAAGACTGAAATGGGCGGCTTTGTGTGTTGTGAATTTTTCGACTCATGGGAGTACTTTCCTAGGCATTGGTGTTGGATAGGCCTGCTAGGCTTCTTAGGATCGAATGGAAGGGTGCAATTTATACGTGAACCGAAACCCTCGCCAATGCTTCCCTCTGTTTGCCACCTTCGCAATAGAACTACACTCCTACTAAGTGACGACGTCGTGGTGTATCTTGTCTGTACAGTAACTACTTGATGTCAGTGGCTTCATAAACTGCATCATCCCCCAATCTACCTTGATAGAAAGCTCTACGGGCAGGAGAATTGGGAAATACGCTGCTCTAAGACGTATCCAAATTTCTACTTACGTGCGCACGCAGAGCCCCGATCCTGCATGAAACCTGATATCGATTAGAGACACCACCGCGGGTAATTCCTGATTGTCATCACTATGATGTCGGCTAGCTGGTTAAGGTTTCTACCTGCGTCGGAGCACATATTGCGTTTCCCTGAAATATGCAAGGGAAACAGCATTCTAGTTCCACGTACTATCAGAATGTGGTTTCATGCGTAACTCCTTTCTCATCATCTTTGGAAAATGAAATCATCGAACAGGATGTGAATTGATTTTGAAGAGGAATTTATGTCTTTGTACACAGCCAGCCAATAGTAAAATTTCCAATCACGTTATCTGTCAGTCGAGACATCAGGATAAACCCCTTGCATCGGGAGATTTGCACCCGCTGTGCTGGGCTTATTATGACACTCGCACCGCTACCCTTGGCTTCCCAGGGTATAAAATGATGTTCACTCTAACATTCGACCCGTTAGTCTCTGGGCAGACAAGCCTTACAGGTAAATGTGTGAATTAATTTGGATCAGGCCATGTCCACTGTACCCGTGAATAGCTGATGTGGATGAAGATATGAATAAGACATGGTCGACGGAGCATTTCAAATTTATTGCGAAGACCCAAGCAGTTTTGCCCATATTTCAATTTTGCAGAGAATTGCTATGGCTCAATCTGACGATTATGTATTGGGTCGAGGCTTGGTGGATTCGGTCCGGTGAGTCTCATACTGTTACCTGCTCCATGCGCTCCCAAAAAATAGTTCACCATTGACCCTGGGCAGACTGGACGCCCAGCATCTGCTATGGAAGTTGCATCAGGGCTTCGAACTGCACCCGGGGATTCCAATCACAAACCATATGAAAATCGCCGAAATCGGAACCGGAACTGGGTTAGTGTTTCTCTGCGCCGCACGGCTGTTATATAGTTCCGCTTTCCCAAAAGCTCTAACGATCGTCAGTGTTTGGGTGTTCGATGTTGCTAAACACGTTCCATTCGGCGTGCGAGTGGATGGTTATGATATCTCAGATGAGCAGCTCCCACCCAGAGATCTGTGGCCGTCGAATGTATCACTTGGAGTGATGGATTCCCTGGTAGATCCTCCGCCATCTCTCAGGGGCCAATATGATGGCGTGCATCTTCGCATGTGGGCAAGTAATGTCCGAGAGAGTGACATTGGACCCGTGATCCGTCAAGCGAAATCCCTCCTGAGTAGGTCCGGTTCGCCACCTTCCGATGAGCAACGGTAACAAGACTTTGCGTAGAACCGGGTGGATATATCCAGTGGGAAGACGCCGACTTGGTCAACCCCGTCGTGCAAGGGGAGATAGCAGAAAGGTTCGACGCGAGGCTTCGTACCTTATTCCGTCAGGTCCACCTTGACTACAGGTAAGTTAGTGATGTACCGAAAATCGTACGGATGCAACAAGTCCGGAATCGCTGAGCTCAATGAATAGTTGGGTATCAGACCCTCCCAATCGCCTGCGTCAGGAGGGCTTGGAGGTTGTTGAATTACATCATGGTAGATTCGACTCTGACGCGGTCCAACTATGTACGAGAACCTACTTGATGGCCCTTCAGTAAATCCTCAATGGCATCAAAAAGTCCTCCTCTTTCGATATAACTTGCTCCGTGACGGAACTTGAGGCGGTGCTCCAGAAAATGCTTGGGCAAGCTACAAGTGGGATGATCTACAATTGGACACCAGTTAGCGTACTCGCACGTATGAACTGACAAAGCTCTTTGGACGTTGGCACTTCAGAGCGCCAGAAATGTTAGCACTTTCAACGGAATGAGGCATGGTTACAACTATGATCTAGAATCCCTGCAGTAACAGATGATATCACTGGAACCTGAGACCTTATGACAGGCCTATCCATCTAAGCTATCATATGCATACGAGTGTATAGCTCTCTGGCAGAATCTTTAACAACACGTGAAGTATATAGATTGAGAAAGCAAGCGACATGTTCCCCTTGTGTCATTACGTAGGCGAACCGAGCAGGTGATCAAATACGAAACAGACTCCATAAGCAGCCAGCTCCCAGGAGCGCTAAGAGACAACATCACTAAACTTTCTCAGATTCTACACATTCACTCGCATCCTCCAGTACCGAGGTTAGCTCTGCCTTTCCCCCGTCAAGGACCTGCTGCCAGTCTTGTGCATTGAGCCAGCTCGTAAAAGAAGGGGTCTGGACCGGGACGGCCAGGTCCCGCGGGTAGAGGACGTTGTCCAGACCTCCCATGTATCCAAACTCGGCGATGTAGGGGGGTGCATCTAGCACTTCCAAAGGAATTCCTAGCTCTCGATGCATATAATCTACACTAACTTCGACCAGCTCGGCTAGTCTACCGGTGGCGTGATTCCAGGCTTTCACGATGGCTTCAACGGTCAGGGAGGTGTCATAGGCGAGAAGCTTGACGCCAGGTCGCTCGTTCTCCACGAGAGCGCGGACGAAGGGACCGGTCGATTCGGAGGGGTTGATGATTGGGATCTCCAGATCTTTAGGTAGCGGCAGCACAAACTGGTACCGACCAGTCGAGGCATTCAGGGATGGCATGAAGAGCGGGTTTGTCGCGTATACGGCCGGGTAGATAAAGGAAGTCTTTCGGGCCAAGGAGGGCTGATCCCGCTCAATGTACTCCACAATCGTCGCTTTCGAGTCCCAATGATAAGAACAGGAGTATTTCCCACGGGAATGCTTCTTCATAGGGCCCAGTGCCGAATAGACAAAGCGCTCCAGGGTCGGGATCTCAGCCGCGGCAATGGCAGCGTTCTGCCCATGCAGGACCTCCTCTTGAAAAGCCTCATCGCTGGACTTGGACTGGCCTCCTGTGACCGTTGAGCTTCGGTAAGGGCCCCAGAAATCCGTATTAACAAAGATCGCATTGGCATTTGCGAAAGCACGATGCAGCGATGCAAGGTCGGCGAGATTAGCCTCTACCACGCCGGCCCCGAGCGACGCCAGGTTTTTGGCCGCCACAGAAGACACGTTGCGTGTGACGCAGCGGACATCCCAGTGATTGAGCTGCAAGAAGGTTCGGGCCACAGAAGAGCCTTGATTTCCCGTGGCACCGACAACGACGATTAGCTTGCATGGGGAAGACATGGTCTGGTCAAGGTCAAGACCTATATATATGAATTGCGGCGGAGGGTTATGAGAAGGGAGAAGAGAAGGGGATCTCAAGAGTAAATGACGCCGAAGAGAATATAAACAATAAGGAAGCATGATTCAACTTGACAGCAGGGGACTCAGGGCTTTTATAACCTTCGACGGCGCATGAAGGGGAACGGCCATCCTCATGCATCGGGGCAGCGGATGCCACAAATCTCAGGTGTCGAGGGGAGTAAGCCAGGCGATGAGTCATCCTGGCTGACTCGCCAAGCCCGACGGTGATTGGCCGTCACAGCGTAAGCCACGTGCCAAGAGGAGCTGACAAGACGACAAACTGCGCCTACCTGACTCCGTACTCTCGACAGCCTCATAGAAGTCAGGATGTAAGCCATCGATCGCCCGCTCTTCAGCATGGAGAGCTCTTCCGAATTGTTGACACGCAACGGCCGCCCTCCCGTTCGGCGAAAGCGGGTGGTGACGGAAGCTCGGAAAGAGCAGAACCGCGTCGCCCAGCGGGCCTACCGTATGTGATCCACAGATTGACCTTGCATCAATCCAACTGACTGGACGACCTACTGTAGGCCGACGACAGAGAGAGGAGCGGCTGAAGCAGCCACGGCCGCAGACAGCCCACCGTTTCCCCGTTCTCCAACCCCTGCCAACGGCACAGGTCCCCCCTTCGCACGATCGTATTCCACCGGCCTCCGCATCCTCGCTATCTTCGCGCGACCCTGCCTCGAGCTTTGCTTCCGATCTTGACCTGGACAATCTAGAATTCCTCGACCGAATCCAAGATACGGCACCGGAGTCAGTAAGCCCGTCGAGCCTTGCCGACCTCCACGTGCAGCCGAGTGGTGACCCGTTAAACATCGTGGGCATTGACCCTCTCGTTTCAAGTGACTTTGTCTTGGAGGGCGAGAATAGTCTTTCTGACCAGTGGCTCCAATTTTCTGACCAGCCACTACCGACAGAGGGCATCGCGGGATCGGACATTGACTTAAACCATCCAGCGGAGGATGACGGTGGGCATGGAGTAACTCAGCCGGCGTTTGCAGATCTCTATCTGAATCGTCTTCAGTTCTCCCAAATGGCTCTTCTACATGCGTGCTTCTTCAACGCACGCTGCCTGGGCATCGGCGCTAAGGAATTCTCCAGCTACTCCTGCTTGTCCTTATGCTCGCCCTTTTACCGTCCAGTCACGATGAGCGAGGACCCGAAAGCCTTGTTGGCGGCCGTCTCGCGGCCTTCGATCCCTCCTCATCTGCAGCCCACATTGCCCCAGGTGCTGTTTCCCCATCATCCGATTCTTGATCTCCTACCGTTGCCAGGGCTGCGGGCTCGTGCCATCATGCTGGCGGCCACGGCGCCTTTTCTGCTGGATGCGTTTGACTTCAAAAAGGACGTCGTCGAAGGGGGTCTGATCTGTTGGGCGGCCCAGCAAGGCGGAAGTAGTCAACCGTGGGATCGACGCAGCTGGGAGGCTGTGCCGTGGTTTCTTCAAAAATGGCGGCTGTTAGTTGACGGCCCGCAGAGCGACCTGTGGCAGCAAAGCGCCTGGTGGCAGGGCATGAGAGGCGAAGTGCCCGCCCGGTGAATGGACAGGGAGGTTCACTTGCGTCAACAGTCTCCCCTAGGTTGTCCCATGCTACTATGCTTGGTAGATCTTTGCCAGCGGCTTTCATGTGTAGGCCCCGCACCCGCTAACAGTGTCCATCCGCGTTGCATCGGTGCGGAACACAGCACCCCACGGGTGGTGAATGGAAAGACAGACGGCTCTTCCTTCGCGATTGGGTGGCTGCATGAGAGCGCGACTCTTTGGACCATCAGTTCTCAGTCTTTGTCTGATCCCGACCCCTTTCGAAGTGAGCAGGGTGCGGGAACCGGGACAAACCCGACATCTAGCCCTAGAATGATGCGTGGAGAAAGGGAAAGATGAGGGAACTACAGCTAATCTGGCCGTTCACCGCGGTAACATTTACGGCTCCAACGAATATCCATAATATCTATATCAAGTATATCAACACTTTCGGAAGCACAGGAGGAAAGGTATACAAATTCAACCCGAGATCAAGATTGTTTCGTCGGAAGACAGCTTGTATATTGTCTAAGGAGTAGCTTCTGGCTGTACCCAATATTATAGAGAGGTTTGAAGCTATACCCGAGCTATCGGGGACTTTTGGGCAAGAAGTGCAACCGCATCTGATTATGTACAAGCGACGTGTTTCACACAACCAATGAAAGGGATGACTTACGCCCGATGCAATACGGAGTATACATGCCTGAGTTATCATAGGGGCTGCATACCTTTGGGAGTTTGAACTGCTCGCAACCAAGGAGCTCTGGGTTTGTAACACCCGTCGTAGCGAAGCGAGCTGCAGCCTTTGCGGGATAGGCAATAGGGTGTAACCACTGTCTCAAAGAAAGGCGCAAGGACAATCAAGGAGATGCGAAAGACGGAGCATGGAAAAGCAAGGAAAACGCAAGTAACTGGGTTAACTGGGTTAACTGGGTCGAAGAAGCAGACGTAGACCGTAATCTGGGCTCTTCTAGGAATAGACCTGGCCTCTTGTCTGAGCTCTTTATGTGTTCAATTGGATCCTTTTGTTTACTTTAATCGTTTTTTCTGGGACGTATATCAAGCACCGCTGGATGCTTGAGCGTCGTAGGTGTTTAAGTTGGTCGAATTTGTACGAGGCCTAGTCACCCCCATCCACCTTTGTTCCTTCTGGTTCGGCCTTGACGAGTCACCTCTTGGTTGTACAGGGCAGTGACTGTGTTCAAGGCTGTTTTCCGACAAAAATTCCACTCCTTCCCTGACTCAACCATGCCTTTCACTACCACAAGAACACCTTCGTCAGGGTTGACGTGGGGTCTATGGTAAAGAATCTGGAACATCCCACCCTGCATGTTATCCAAGGCAAGAGTATATTTCTCGAGGCAACTTGCGAATTTGGCATGGCAGCCAATCCAGACCCAAGCCTCGAGTCTTCGCCAAACAGCATTCCTATTCATCGTGGCTAGTGTCTGGGGCCGGGGCTGAGAGGCCCGGCAGCCAAACAAAGCCGAGTAAATACGTTGCATTGAGTAGGATATGATCATGGATGGACGGTTAGTCAAATCCCGTCCACCCAAAGAGTGCTTTATATAGCCAACTGGGCGTTTTAGAGCATCTTTCGAGAACCAATGGCTCATGCGCATCGACTGTGCTGTTGATGGAAAACTCCGCTCTGGGGCGAAGACTGATGAAAAGTTCAGTATAGCACAACGACACGAGTACAAAGTGAATCTTCCGTGGACCGATTCCAGCTAGATCTAAAAGTATCGGAATGGAACCCATGCCCGCTTGAAAGTGGAATGATCATGCTCAAAGTCAGGTGCTTATGAATCGGTTCTATTTGAAGCGCGATAAAAACCACCCCGGTCAGTCATCCGGTAGGTAATGTTGAACAGAAGCATTGCGACACTAGAAGTGACTGGCCAGGACTCTTAGATCGTATTTGCGTCGTAACGCCTCGGTCCACCAAGCGAGTCAAGCTTCAACCTGGGAGGCTTATTTCTAGAGCTGCCCGAAACCCGATCATGAGACATCCAACCTGTGCGACCGAAGGCAATGGGATTTCCTTAGCGTGCTATATTGAGCTCCGACGTATTCTCAAAACCTTGTAGTAATAAATTGGTCTGGGCTGGTTCCGGTTTGGGTCATGGGCGTCTTTCACAGACCCAGCTAGCCTGTATAAAGTAAACCTCGATGCGAGAACCTGAGGCATGGCATCGTGTGGGCAAAAGAACGAACGATAGACGAATCCCATAGTTCCGAGCTCAATGTCGGCATGCGGAGTGACGAGCCGGACCTCTGTAGAACTTGAAATTCAGTGCTGTCATAGCTGAATCAGTTGAATAGATGAAACTCCAGACTCGTGGCACCAACGCAAGGTAACCAGCAGGCCTGCCAGAGCACATTCTCCTTTCAATCAGCTAGGACAAATGGTGTTACAGGAATACGGGCTTGTTCCACCAACCGCTCGCTAGAATCATCGCGCGAGTGGCCCTGGCACTGTCACTGGCCAGAGGAAGGGTGGGTGCACAGCGAGACACGTAAATAACTTGTGCTAGACAAACATAGGTTGTCGGGAGTAAGCCTCCCTAAAAAAGGGAGCCACAATTCATCCAACGCAACGAGGCCGTCACTCCGAAAGTCAATCAGAGACAATTCATACGATCGCTCCACATCGAATAACAGCGAGGATCGTTTGCTAGGAGATAAATTAAGCTGTCCCCGCAGTTTGGCCTGCTAGTTATCGGTTCCCACGCCAGCAGCTCCTCGCCAACCGAGTCGCAGTGTTTCCTTTCTCGTCATTTAAGAAAATGCAGTCAATCCTCCAGCAGATAAAAGACCTCTATGCTGGATCAGATGCCAAGGGTCGCGCAGCAATCCACCGTGACATATACCGCCTACAAGGGTCAATGTTATCAGAAATGGAATTTATGATTCATTTGGCAGCCAATGGTGTGAGTGGCATCGCCCGAACTTTGAGAAGTCCTTTTCCAGCTGATGTAATAGCAGCCGGTCAAGTATGCGATGGCCAAAATCGGAGTCGATCTCCATATATTCGAGCTTCTGACGGAGAAAGATCGGCCTCTCACGGCTTCGCAGATAGCAGATTGAGTGGCTGGGGCCCCAGGACTTCTGAGTGAGACAAAGAAGATATCCTGGTGGGAAACAATAGGCAGTCGATCGGCGCTAATGGAGACCAGAGAGAATCCTCCGGACGCAGGCAGCGTTGCACCTGATCGACCAGACCGGTGCTGATACATTTCGATCAAATCGAGTAACTGGACTTCTCTCCAATCCGGACATGAACTCGCTGCTGCGGTTTCAGTAAGTCAGGATATCCGCCCCGAAGCCAATCTATAGCAGCGACTCACGCGATTATAGACAGCCAGTATTTGGGCCTGCATACCAAGCCCTGCCAGACTTTCTGCGAGCTAGGGAATATCAGGATCCCATGTCCAACGACGTCACGGCGTTTCAGGTAGCTTTTAAAACGGAGCTGACGTTCCCGGAATTTGTGAAACAGCATCCCGAGCACCTTGAAAATCTACACAAGTCTATGCAACAGTCCTACGGCAATCAATGGACCGACGAGTTTCCAGTGGAAAGTGAGCTGGGTCAGTGGGGTCAAACTGGAAACGAAAGGCCGCTGCTTGTTGACATTGGCGGCGGACGAGGGCAGCAGGCCAGCGCATTCAAGAAGAGATTTCCCGGTCTCCCAGGCCGTGTGATTGTGCAAGATCGGGCGGAAGTAATTGACGGTGCGGCTCAGATTGATGGAGTTGAGTTTATGGTGCACGACTTCTTTGTGACTCAGCCGATCCTAGGAGCCAAGTTCTACTATCTCCGGTTTGTACTTCACGACTGGCAGGACGATCTCTGCGTCCAGATCCTGCGGAGTATTGTTCCTGCCATGGGCCCACACTCGTGTATCGTTCTGGACGAAATGATTCCTCCTGATATAGGCATGTCTTTCTGGGCTGCCTTCATGGACACTGCTATGCTTGCGACATGTGGCGGATCAGAGCGCAGCGCAGAGGACTGGGTTAGGCTCCTTGACCGTGCAGGACTGCGGATGCTGAAGCTGCTGGAATACGATCCGCAGAATCTATCCGTAATCATGGCCGTTCCCAAGCCAGAAGAAAATGCAAGTTGTATATAATTACCAAACCCGCGATGGCGACCGTGGACTGAGGATGGCAGTGTTTATTGCACCATGGCTGGGCATAGGAAGGATGTCACCCCACCACTACTGGTGAACTAAGTAGAGCGGCCAATGGTCCATTCTGGGAATAGCAAATACGATTGAATTATTTCTGGCTCCCCTCGAGGTTCGAAAGGGTACCTAAATGCGTTTCCGATGGGACTCGGGCAAAGATATTTATGCAACGTTGAATCCGTAGATATATTCCCGTGGGGGGCATCTGCAGTGTAGAGGTCTTATAGTTAAAGCGAACTCGGCTTCGCCTTCTTGCCACGGCCTTCAAAGGCCCAGTCAATCTGCGTTGCCATCCGGACTTTGACCCCCAGTTCGTTGGCAAATGCGCGGACCAGGCCTGGATTTTGCTGGAACCACCTTCCGGACTGAACAACATCAATTCCCGACTGCAACACCTCCTCCGCCAGGGAGCCTGTCTTGATGCCACCTACGGCGGACACCAGAAGTTTGTCGCCTACTGCACTTTTGATATCCCGGGCAAAATGCGCCTGATAAGCCGGACCGGAACGAATGGCAATGGCGGATTTGGCATGAATACCCCCTGAGCTGACATCCACCAGGTCGATGCCATGATCTGCCAGGAGAGGAGCCAGCCGTACTGACTGAGCCAGCGTCCATGACTCAGAGAATTCTTGCCTCAGACTTTCGTCGAACTCGAACCAATCGGTGGCACTGATGCGCACGAAGACGGGCATGGATGTCGGAACCGTAGCCCGAACGACATCGCACACCTCCAACAGTAGCCTGACCCTGTTCTCAAAGCTGCCCCCATAATGATCCGTTCTCCGATTGCTGACCGGACTCAGGAACTGATGCAGGAGATACCCATGGGCGGCGTGGATTTCGATTGCGTCGAAGTTTGCCCGTAGAGCTCTTTGAGCAGCCGCTGCGTAGGCATTCTTCAAAGTCTCAATCTCCTCCAAAGATAGAGCTGAGGGCACAGTGTTGATGCCCTCCTCATGGGGGATAGCCGACGGAGCGACAAGGTCGTCTGGCCATCCCCCAACTTCCGTGACCGCCATGGCGTTGCCGCTCAACCAAGGGGCCACGGCGCTGCCCTTCCGACCGGCGTGGGCCAATTGGACGGCGATCTTCTGATTCTGGCCGTGGGCGAATTCCGTGATGCGCTTCAGCGGCTCGATATGAGCGTCTTCGTACAGTCCGAGATCCTGCGGTGTGATGCGGCCGATTTCCTGCACTGCGGTCGCTTCGATGATTGCCAGGCCCGGTCCGCGCTGGATGATTCCGCCGAGGTGTGTCAAATGCCAGTCGTTCGCATAACCGTCCTTTGAGGAATATTGACAGAGGGGAGCCAGGAAAAGGCGATTAGGGAGCGTTAAACTGCGGATGGAAATAGGGCTGAACAGCTTGGTTGACCCCTCGAGTTGCGTGCCAGCCGGGGGCTCTTGGACTGGCGTATAGTATGAGATGCCGGAGGCAGCGCGATTGTCAATCTTGGTCTGCATCATGATAATGATTCTCACACAGCTCAGCTGGGGTCTGATGGATGTGTCGAGATGCAAAGGACTTGTTTACAGCTCATATATAGCTTGAGGGCATTATTAATATAACATTGGATTAGTAATGGTACAAGAGCTAACACTACATCTCGTCATCGCGTGCCGCCATGATTGGCTCACGATGTGGACTCTAACCAGACTATCTAATGCTAGACTGGCTCGTTCTACCAATATTGAATGAACCTTGGCGATCGACAAGATCTGAGCATCCACTTGGACTAATAGACTGGTTTAATTCTCTTTGTTGCCGCTGGCTTGATTGGCCCGAGGGTGATGCAAGGAACATAAGCCGTTAAACATACGCAATTGCTGAAGCCGTTCCGTGCAGTAACCATGGGTAGAACCCATAGGTACGGCGATTCTCCTTGATTAACCGAATAGTACCGTGGTAGTAGAGGTGGATATAGGGCCTTAAGTATTTATAGATATCTAAGATAGAGCTCTTATATCTAGATATTGGTCCAGTAATAATAGCCCCTCTCTTTCTCTTTTCTCGGGCACTATGAGTATCTCCTTTTTATATATATAAATAAGTTATTCGTACATACTAATAAATATAGGTGTCACGCTCTTCGCTCTTTTTGATCGCTGACGGCGCAGGTTCTGCGGCAGCATACATCCAGCTACCTAATACTAGGTTCTACCATACCCCCCCCCCCCCCCCCCCCCAGGTATCTATATTTATTTTTATATTTAGATTATAGTGTTTTCAAGATCGTCTCAATATATCTAGTACCTTTAGTTCAGGGAGTCAAGTGCCGGAATAAGAACCTACCCCCTGCAGGGCTTCCCCTTACATTCTAGCCACATTATCGATACACCATTCTAGGGAAGCATTAAATCTTTAGTCAGGGTTACCAGCGTTAGGCTTGCCAACGACATTTGATCCTATTCTGTTTATTGTCCTCACAACGTAGGTCGTCTAGAAGTGGTAGACTAGTTAAAGCTTTTCTTGGAAATTGAATTTAAAAAGAGTTAATATGACATAAAGAGAATTATCACTATACCCCCACCATACCTTAATTTTTTATCAATACGAAGTTTTTTTTTATCAACATTGCTAAAAGGAAAGGGTAAGGAAAATAACTGTTTCAGAACTATTTTATCTCCACTCATCACCACCACTCTCGGACCACCATGGGACATTTTCGTATTGCATAGTGCAGCGCGAGCAGTAAATAACAAGCGCAGGGCTCTCGCTCTTGTTGCCGTTCTGAAGAACCTCAAGCATAAAAGACGAGCTATGAACACTACCGTATTTGGCATTGTGCACCATATCATCAAGGCCCATATACTTTCCACAGCCACAACATTCTTCTCGCTCATGACTCATGATATTTCTCTCTATAGTTACTTGGGAAGCTGGACGGTAATATTATAAGTATATTATGCGTTTAGAGAAGCTTCAGCTAACTAGGAATAATGCACTTACCATCGACATCAAGAATTTCCGCGATATGGGCACGTTCGGTAGAAGTAAGCTTCCAGGCGTATCCCTTCTCGCCAGATGGGGAAGTAATTACTTCCGACTGGGAAAACTTTTCAAAGAAAATATCATGGCGAGGAAGATCTCCGACTGCTGCGGCTGCCATTATGAATGTGGTTGGTTGAAATTGCACCGAAAGGTTCACAATGAACTGAAAGATGTGATAGTTTTAATTGACTGATAATACTGTGTTAATCGGGGAAATTGATGAGACTTTTATATTCAACAAGATCAAGAATGATTTGTCATGAATGTGGATTTAGACACACTCGACGTGTCATAATCTCTAGATTTGTTGCTAAGAACCATGAATAACTACAGAGTAATGATGACATTTAGTTGTTTTCCAATGTAACACTGTCTTTATATCCCGTTTGCGTATTATAGATCAAGATAATTCTTTAACGTAACCGGACAACGAAGCGGCGTGACAATGGGCTGGCGCGGCGTCTTACTGCTTATTTTTAACATCAACCATTTTATTCATTTGAAATCATTCAAAGTCATTTAATATTATAAAATTGTTATAGAGCAAGATAAGTGATTAAAATATATAATTGAGATCTTTAATAAAGATCTTTTTGAAATAAAAAAGATCTATGTAAAGGTCTTTGACATTAAGATAAGTATTTTAAGAAATTAATTGAATAAAGTCTTTCGATAATGAGAAATTGGTATTAAAGCAGAAGTTTTTAAATATAGATTTTTATAAATATTCTTTTATTATTGCAAAAATCTATTATCTCACTAAATGTTTTTTTATATAAAATTAAAGCTATTGTAAAATGATTCTGGTGTATGCCCGGTCATGGAGCCACGTTGTTCCGAGCCGTCCCTTCCCCGAATGCCTCATGCATTTAGCTCAGCTAGTTCCGCACCTATCTTAGGGAAATCATACTGTTCATTTTCTTCATCTCTGTTCCCTACGTTTAGGCTGCGGCAATATCCAACAGTATGTTGGATATCCGCATATCGTATCCGCAATTTGCGGACTTGGATGTCAACTTGATATCCAACTATCCGCAAATTGCGGACTTGGATATCGAAATTAAAGCGTTGAATATCCAACGAATATTTGTTGAATAACAAATATAACAAATACCGTACTTGATCACCTGACGCACGCCCCCACCTGACGCACGAATTTTACCTCAGCACCTATATAGAAATGAAGCTCTACAACCACACACATTCAGTATTATACAGAGATTTTTAGAAGGATGAATCAATGCATTATACTGAAACTATTTACAACATTTTTTACTGCCGAAAGCGCTCAAGCAGGCGGATCTGCCTACCGCGGCAATTGAGCGTTGGGGAGACCTCATCAACAATCTCAGGTTCTATAGCAGCTTTACCACTCGATTTCTTTGCCTTTAGAATTATAGAGACCTTATTCTCGTCTGTTTGAACAACATTGAAGTCATTTTGAAGCTGTATATCAGCTTGCTTAGCGAGCTAATCATCTCGCTTTTTTTGCTTTCTTGTCTCTGTCTCACGAACCCGCGTTTCTCGATTTGAAACACGGATTCGTTTACATTCTTCAATTAAAAGTTTTTAATCTTGCTTCTCTCGCTACTTATAAAGTCTTTTTTCTTCTTTTGAAGCCTTAGCGAACTATACAGCCTCATCTTTTTTTGTTTGAAAATCACGAGCTTGCTGAATCTTCTTAGGAAAATAAAACACCGTGTAGCCGTCCTCAAAGGCCCGTAATTCAGATAAAAGAGGTTTGCCTCGCTGACATTTCTTTTTCTTTTAAAAAAGGGCCTCTTCAAGACTCTGGCAGTGTAGTTTTAAGATGACATTCTCTGTAAAAAAATGATGCATCGTCGAATTTAACTATTTTGCCTTTTGATCATATAAATCAACAATTGTATACTTAAAAAGTCTCTTAATCTTTCTCCAATCCTTTGCATCAAACACTGAGCAAGATGATTCACTAAAAAATGGTCGATTATTATCATTTCTATTGAATCGCGATAAGACAATATCAAAATTCAACGGCCAAACGCCTATCGATTTCCACGAAAAAACGATATTCTCATTAGATAAAGCGCTCTTTCATGACGGTCAAAAGAGACAAAAGAAATCTTTTTTTGTAATATGACAAAGATCTTAAGATTCATAAAAAAATCATTCTAATCTCTTACTATACATTGTAAAAAGAGGTTCGAAGATTCCAACGTCAAGTGATTAGAATAAATGTATAAAATAAGACAGATAAGTTATTAAAAGAATCTTATTTGTTTTGCAGTATTCGAAAAATTTCATATTAACATGAGATCCATGACTGTTAAGAATAAGAAGTCTTCAATGCCGTTTCGTTTTCGCTTTTATTTTTCGATCGAATATATCTCGTAATCATACATATCCTAACTCGTCATTCGTTCATCCTGAAAGTGAAAATGTAAAAAAGCAAGAATGAAAAAAAAGATTAAAATCTTGCAGCCAGAAATCTTGAAGCTTTGAAGAAATTGTTTGATATATAAAACCTGAAAATAGCGAAATCTCATTCGCGCAAATATAGGCGAATGTTGTAATCCATTTTCGATTTCCATCCTGAAGCCGTTATTTCATTTCATTTTTTTTATATAATGATTTAAAGAAGATTCTCTTCGTTTTATTAAGCATTTCGATCAAAAAGTCTTTTTCGTTCATATTATAGATATCTTTCTGCTGTATATCGTATTCCGAAATCTTACAAATCAAAAGTTCAAAATATAATGCGTAATTCAACGCAGAATCAATCTTTTTTCGAGAGAAATCGATCCCAGTTGTATAGCGAGAAATAAGATTATTATTATATCATTTTATAAAATAGCTCGATTATTGTTTTTCGGGACAATTATCAAAGATAGACCTCGGCATGGAACTTCCACGGGTAGGCATTTTGGTTCCAGACCCGTGGAACAGGTAGACGAGTCCTACCCATTACCCATGACCCCCCTACCCATTACCCACCATGGGTACCCCGCGGAGTACCCGTGAACTACCCAAAAATGCATAACTAACCCTTTTTGAACGTGCCAAACCGTATAAAACTGTCTACTCTTTTGATTAAAATACTGATTTTAATATCTGTTCTGATCATCCTTCAGTGCATCACGCGATATAACCACAATATCTACATAAATTAAATATCGAAGTTCGAAAACATTATCAGAAACTCCAATAATAATGGAAGATGTTTATTTTCAATTGATTATATACTAAAGTAGAGGTGATTCTAGATGGTATTATGGGAAATGCCTTGTTGAGTGTCTAAAATATATTTTGATATTTGAAAGAAGTAAGTGTATTCTCTTATAAAGACTATCTTTATTCTCTTATGTAATCTTATATTAGTTAATTATATCAAAACATTGATAAATTGAATTGTATATTTTATTTTTATCTCTAAATTATCCTTCTATTGACCTTATATGTCTATAATATGCATGAAAGAGACTAAAACTATTAGATCTCGTCGAGAATTGATGGGACTGAAATATAAAAAAATTGTTAAAGTGAGACGGATATCCCGTGGATTACCCGCGGAATATCCATTTACCCGCGGGTAATCCACAAGATACCCGCGAGTAACCCGTAAAACTCATCAATTAGAATAGCTTATCACTGATATAATAAATCATTTATTTGTATGTTATTATAACTCAAAATATCTAGAGTTTCCAAATCTAAAGTTATCAGTCGCAAAATTTACTGTAATAAGTACTTGCTTTATTATATGACTCTATATTACCGGTCTGGCCTTATTTCTTTTACTATAATGTCTCAACTCTTCCAGTTTTCTGACGCGTACGCATCATCTTTATATGATGCTGACAATTCAGATAGTATTTAGATTATTTAACTAGACAATCTCATTTTCAATCTTTTGCTTAGCCAGCAAGCGTCACAATTAATCACTAATTCAGATTTCATTCATTTATCTATTTCCACTTTTATATCTTTCTCCCTCAAACATATCTACCCTGATCGAATTTCAATATACCTTGTTTACTCTGACATGACAAAGAACAATTTTGTGAATTAATGACTCTAGACTGATTTCGAACAAAAAAAACGAATACATTGAAATGCTTAATAGCAGTTTGATGTTTGAAAACACTTTAATCAAATGATTAAAATCAACAATGAAATGCCGAAGATCATATGTAAACGATATAAGAAAATGTTTGATCATCCATAGTAATATGAAAATGACACTATAACAATGATCAAACATTTAAAAGGGATTAAATGTTGTAGTCAAAATAGATCTAATATTAGACAATTTTTCCAAAAGATAGTATTCTCCTATGTTATAAAAAATCATTTAACTAATATCTTTCTTTCTACTAAGTCACATCTTTTTTAGATAGCCTTAATTTCATTCAAGAAGTCTGAAAAGCAAGTTTGTTCCGTTTTATCACTGATTCTCGACTATCATTCCAAATTCTTGAACATCTCGACTTTCATCATTTAATTTATATGATCTTTTGTGCCTCAAAGTGTCCACAAATCCCATCTTCAAAAACAATTCGATATCAATTTCAAAACACTATCATCGAATATCAGAATAATGTTCTTTAGAAATTATCAAAAGATGAAAAACTATCAGTGATTTTAAATTACTGAATGTTTCTCTTCCAACAAATATTTATAACAATTATTGGCTACTTTTTCAACAAAAATTGAAATTATCAGAAAATATTTCTTGATTTTGAACTGCTACATGAAACACATTCAAGGATCAATCTTAGCGTTATTTTTCTTAAATTATTTCAAAAATATCAGATCACAGATAAAATATTTGCAATTATTATCGACAATGCATCAAACAATAATATTATATTATCGAATATTTAAAATTCTATTCAGTCTTTTAAAATCGGCAATCGTATTACAATTATCAAGATTTCCTGTCTCGTTCATGTTATTCAATTCAATCTTAAACAGTTTCTCGGACAAATAAAAGCAAATCTAAAAAATGACATAACTGAAATGCAATGATTTGAAACATAAAATCAATTGATCCGTTCAAAACAACAAAAATGAAAGATCATTGATACATTTAATAAGATCAATCTATAATTTTGATATAATGAAAGCCTATTCATTTAT